GGGTGTTTAATATGCCTTTATTGCTGACCTTATAATAAGTTCAACTGATTTGAAAATTCACGGATTAGGAGAAAGCTGACATTTCACTTTCAGACCCGTTTTGCATGTTTGTCTTGGATATGGAGCCCTGCAGAGTTTATAGATTGTTTTAGTTGATTTAATTCATTTATAGAGAAGCAGCACTGGCACCTTGAGCTCAGAGAGTAGAAGTGTTACCGCACCAGGTTCGTTTTGCCCGCCGCCCGGAAAGCCAATCACCGAGACGACGAGATTGCAGGGAGAGAGGGTTTAATCACAAGGCAGCCACGTGAGGAAACGGGAGAATGACTCTCAAATCCGCTTCCCCGAAAATAGGGACTCAGGGATATTTATCTGGAAGGGGGCAAGGTGGTCTGAAATGTGGAGATAGATGATTGGAGGTGAGGAGAGGTGATGTAATGGATGATCTGCGCAGGCGTAATCAGACTTCATGCCTCTTCATGGGACGCATGTTCACAAAATGGCGGTGTTGGCGTGATCCGAGGGTGGAGTTTTTAGCCTCTTGACGTGAAAAGGTCGCTGATAGGACGTCTGTGCGGGCCCAGTTGATGGGTTGGTGGTCTCAACCAGCCTGAAGTGAACGAGGGGTTCAAATTCCTGAAAAACAGCTCAAACATCCATTACCAGGGTGACCCAGGCTTCAAGGAGATGTTCTCTATAGGAATCTAGTGGGAGTCAGATAGCATATTGCCTAAATAGCACAGTTAACAATGGGCGGGTAAACAGCTAAAAGCTAAAGCCAGTAATTGCAAAAAGGAAAAAACTGTAGTCTTTAGTCCCTAGCTACTTAATCATCAGTGGCCAACTTTTTGCCTGTTTCAGAAGCTTCTCTAGAAAACAACAAACACAACCCCAGCCCCCTCCAGGGTATGGGACTCCGTGTCCAGATCACTCACTTATAAAGCGTGGGAGCAGGGATCAGTTGCTAGACAACCTGGCCTCAAGATCACAAGCTGTCCATGACGCCATGATGGCAAATGATTAAAGGAAAGAAAGTCTGGGTTTCTACTGCATCTATCAGGGCAGTTCTCTACCAGGGGCGATTTTGACCTCATTCCTTGCCCTTTCCTTCCCAGGACATTTGGTAATGTCTGAAGACATTGTTGATTGTCACACCTGGAGGGGGCAGTACTGGCCTCTAGTGGATAGAGGCCAGCAATGCTGCTAAACATCCTATAATGCACAAGAGAGCCCCCAAACAAGAATGACCCAGACTCAAATGTCAACAGTGTCCAAGTTGAGAAAGCCTACTCTGAGGGGCGATATTAATCAAGAGGTGAACTTTGAAAGAATGACAAATGCTAGGAAGGTCTAAGCAATGACCTGGCTGTGTTTGTTTTCCAAGTCTAATTGGGAGTGCATCTCTTTTGTAACGAGCGATTAGGTAGAGCTGGATACCTGAGAACCAGGTCTGTGCAGGCTTGTCCTGACACACACACACCGCACCTTCCAGTCTATGATGCAGCACAGACAGAACCTCCATTTTGCAATCGGCTTGTAACAAATGAGCATGGGCAATTCCCCTTCTCCGTGATTTTAAACACGGACCTTTTGCTTTGGGCTCTAGTTGTGCACACCCTTGCTCCTCGTGTAACATTTCACCAAATGCCCTTCATCAGCTCCAAGAGGGCTCACGGCTCCTGAAGGGCTGACACATGATGGGGGCTGAAGGCTATCTGCATTTCGTCCCGAGTCCCTTTTCCGTCTCCTGTAGGAGACTGCTTAATTGCTTTTCAAATAGCTATCATGTCCTCCTAGCTATACAGCTTCTTCCAGAAGATGATTACAATGTCCTATTCTTTTTCAAGCAAAAATAGTGCTTCCTACCCCTCAGTAATGTATGCACTGTCAATTTCAATAGCACCAGCTGTCTTTACCCCACACGGAGCTCTGGTTCCCTTTATTTCCCCTCCTTTGCTATTGTCATCCCATTCAACCTTTCTCGAGAGAGCTTCCTAGGCACACAATCATATTTATAGAGTCTCTGTACATTTGTGGATACAATTAAAATTTAAACACTGCACATTTAACCCAATGTTGACATTTCTCATTTCTTAAAGGAAGAATTTACTTAAACATTAATAACTAAATGTGCGACGTACTTTTCAGTGCATACTTCAATTCTGAGAAGGGAAGAAAGATATCACGCAGTTCTCATCTATTAGAATTGTGAGTTTGTTTAAGAAAGATATGTAATTGGAGACCTAAAGCCTAATTTGAAATTTGTTATGTTATCTCATAATGGAAGCATAAATGAATGTAGATTTTTGACTGCAACCTAAACTTAACCCCTGCTTGTTATGGTTCACGAACTTGAATGGGGCTTGTGTGGTATTTTGTTTGAAGTTACTATTGAATTTCAGTTTAAAAGAAAGAAAATATTCCTGTGCTTCTCTCTAAGACCCCCTGCCCTTCTGTGACATAGTATTGCATTTTTCAAAATGGACAATCTGAGCAAGAGGAAAGTAAGAGAGGGCTAAAATACACATGCGGGGCTGGAATGTGGGTTTGGGTACTCCAAATCCTGCACTCCCATGCTTGCCCCTTTGTCCCCCACAGATGCCTGACAAGGGAGGGGCATCCGCAAGGTGAAAGAACCAACTGAGTTGTAAAATGTCAGCTTAATTAACCACCAGGCAAGCATCCGAAGATGCCCCCATCTCCTAATAGAGGGCTTCCATGGCACAGGCTGGATTGGAGAGTGTGGCTCAGACTAGGATGTCTGCATAAAATTTCCTATTTCCTGCTTCCTCGAGTCTCAGTCACGTGGGTCTGTGGCACAGTGTTCAACTACCCATGAGGACAAATGGCTGATCCTACTCAAGTACAGATGTAGAAGTTACGACAACAGAGAGGAAGAGGAGCAGACGCTCTTGACACCTGGCCCATGACACCTGCAGCTCTTTGTCTGATGTCCTTTATAGGCTCTGGAGTCTGTTCCACCTTCCAGGAAGTACCGGGGGATCAGTTCCTCCTGGGAGGAGCCCTTAACCAATGACCGACGGGGGTTGGTGTATAATATATCAGCACCCCCACCTTTTGCGGAGATAACTTTTAGTTGTGTAGTCTGCACTGTCTCCCAGAGGTCCCAAGTGAAACTGAGTGCCGGGTGCCCTTAGGGATGACTTTCTTGATAACACACCCTCGTGTCTGTCTTTTCTTTCCCACCTCAGTCCCACTCCCCTACGATGATCCCTGGAATCATCTCCCAAAGAAATTACTTCTACTCATATCCTTGTTTCAGGGTCTGTTTCTTGGGAACCCTAAACCAAGACAAACAGTATGGCTGGTTTCGCCCTTAACAGGCAGGCCCCATCCAGGGAAGCTGGAAGCAAAACAGGATAGGAGAAGAAGGCCTGGTGCGCAGAGATGCAGGAGGTGGAAAAGAAGGAGTTAGCAGGGCTGTACATCTTCCAAGCCCAGTGGTCCCCACCCACTAGTAGAACTTGGCCCAGGGAGCGTCTGGGATTCTGAACAATAAGATTTGCAATTCCTTCTCCATTGGAGAAGAGATGGTGGGAGGCAGAGTGGCAGAAAGGTTCAGATTTCCCCCTCAGGTTCCCATCCTACTCCACCCCACCCCACTCCCACCCCCAAGAAAGAAGAGCCAAAACAAAATGTTTCCCCTCCCAACAGCTCAGGTTTGTCCCAGGCTACTCCCATCTCAGCGTGGCAGACGCTCCAGGCTGCCTGTGGTCAGAACTCGCTGCAAGCTCCCATCCCCGCAGGAAGAGGGAAGAGTACCCGCCTCTATTTCGTGTTCAAAGCTCCCAGCCACCCACTGCTTTCAGCTTCATGGCGGCAGGCCTTACTGTTCAAACAAGACAGTTCTTAAATTCCTCCACTCCTGGTGTGAACACGACTCAGAGCTATGAAAAGCTTGTAGTGCAGCCTTCCGGGTGTATTTTATTAAAAGGTAAGATTATGCTCCAAGCAAAGGTCAGACAAACATTTGCTCAACGCCTTAGTACTCAACAGGCAGGGAACATTTCCTCAAGTCGGGAAGCTGAGTAAAATGGCTGCCAGGTTAAGAAAGGTCTTTACTTAAAGGTCAAACCAAAATATAATGGGAAAGAAATACAGTTTGAAATAGGCTTTTTTTTTTTTTTTTTTAAGAGAGACTGGTTCTAAGTGGAGATTTGCTTCCTCTTTCTAAGTTTCAAAAGTTCATATGTCACTTTTTGAAACATAATTATTCTTAACACAAATGTGTAATTGAAGGAACACAGCTAAATGGGCCCTCAGTGTAGCCTCAAATTTAAACAGGAGGAAAGTGACCAAGTGTTTGGAGATGCCAACCTCCCCCTTCCCTCATGACCCAACCAAGCGCCCTGCTCCTTCCTGGCACTTGTTCCCCAGGCACTCCCATCTTTCAGATTGCCAGGCCGGGGACCCCATTTCCCAAGGGAACAGATGGATTGGGGAATAGAGCGGCCATTCTTGAGCCTGTCATGGGCCAAAAACTCAACCTTTCACAGGTGCAGATAGCACAGTGCCTTTCTGCCAGAGGAAGGAATCGCAGAGGCTGGCGGGTTGCGGGGGAGGATACGTGTAGGAGGTCACCAATACTAAGCAGGCTCCAGGCAAGGCACACTTGCTCTATGACCAAATGAATGGGGAGCAGGGGATGCTGTGTGGTACATTCCCGAGCCTTTGGCCACCCTCTCCAATAGGAAGTTCCAGAACCTTTTCTCATCTCCACCTGATTTAGTCAAACCCTTTCAGAAACATGTTGGACTTGTTACAAGGTATAAAAGTGACACTCTGATATACCTGGATTTGATGGATGGTTTTGCCTCTCTAAGATTTATGGCAGGTAGTTAACTTCTCCAAAGTTCATTGGTACTAGTTACGTTTTTGAAACACTGTTTTACTATTTGGTAAATAGTCACTGACCTGAAGCTACTCAAGTGTCCCTTCGCTGCCACCCCCACCTCACAAGCCCCTCCCCTGGGATCACCAGGACCTCCAACAGTTACAAGATTAATGCCAGAATAGCATCTGTCCTCAGGACTCTGCTCTGTTCTGATGGGCTGGTGCCCATGCTCGCTCAGTTGTGCTAAGCCGGTGGGATTCAGCTCTCTGCACTTCCCTTCTCTCTGGAATCTGGCTCAAGACCTCACCGTCTCGGTAGCTCTCTGATGGCTCAAATATATTTCATATATTTTGGCCAGCTTTTCTGGTTCTTGGTGAGAAGGTTGGTGTGCAATAAGCTAGTCTATCACTACTGGAAGCAGGAACCATCTGTGGACTTCTTATGTGAGACAGATGAATCACTATCTGTTAAGCTACTTGCAGCCCAATGAATTCCTAACTGACAAGCTTGCTGTTGCCAGGACCAGGCCATGTGCGTGACCTATGCTCAGTTGATCTGTGTAACGACTTGGGCAGGTGGTCTAAAGGAAAGGAGACTGAGCAGGCTGCCTTGATTGGAGCAGAGAACCATAAAAAGCAGAATCTTGGAAAAAGTAAGTACTTCAGGGTAATCAGAGAAGGATAATTTGAATTTCTTCATTTTGGAAAAAAAGGCAAGAGATCCCTAAAGTGTACTAACAGGATGAAAGAGTTTACTAGAGAGAAAACTTTGGAAACTGCTGAGTGGTAATATTTATCACCCAAGTTAATAACTTGCTGGAAACCCAAGAGGAAGGTATTTCGTCTTAGCTTTGCCATTAAGCACAAAGCCGAAACTTTTGGTACATGATTTATAACACTCAGAGCTCTGCAGATTTCATTAAAAAGTACTATATAAAGCGTGATACCTCCCAAGGTATCCCATAGCCTGGGATATGGAAAGATAAGGGGCTTTTTCCAAGGTCAGACTCTAGGCAGCAGGGAGCCCATGGATATGAGTAGGTTAAGGGAAAAACACAATACACACACACACACACACACACACACACACACATGATATGGCTAGTTAGGGGAATAATCTTTCTAAATCTCATGCCCTCTGTGGCAGATTGTATTTTTCCCAAATCTTTTCCCAAGATTTTCCCAAGATTGCCCCAAGACGGTCCCATCAGCATGTCCCACCATCCCCCCATGCATTTCTTACAATGGGCATAGACTCTCTTCCATCAAGGGGTGGGAGGGTCTCTGTTCCTTCCCTTTGCATCTAGGTGGTCCTGTGACTAGTGTGGAAGTGACGTTATGTGACTTCCAAGGATAGGTCATAAAGGGCAATGTAATTTTCACTGGCCATCTTGGGATCCTTGACCTGGGAATCCTGCCACCCACCACACGGAAAGGCCATTGTAGATGTTCTGGCCACAAGCCTAGCTGACAGTCAGCATTGACCACCCACCATGAATATCATCAGCAGCAGCAGCACGTGAATGACTGAGGCTTCAGAAGATTCTAACCCCTAGCCTTTGAGCTGCCCCAGTGGAGCGACATGGAGCAGAGATGAGCTGTCCCCATTGAGCACTTCCCAAATTGCAGGTTGCCAGGCAAAAAAATGTTGCTTTAAGCCACCAAGTTTAAGAGTGGTTTGTTATGCAGCAAGAGCTAGCCCTCCCTCCCTACCTCTGAGTGTAATGCTCACAAGAGTTGCTCAGATATCACTCGTGACAGAGAATGTACCTGAAGAGACACAGAGTCTACCAGAGGCTTTCCTGGTCCAAGTGAGTGCGTGAGGGCAAAGCTCTGGGTCTTAACACAGCCTCAGTGTGGCACGAGGCCTTTCCTAGTGGGGATGATCGGCAGAAATACCAAGTGCAGTCCGAACCTTCAAATGGTTCGGGTTTTAGTTTCCCTGTTGGTGGCTTTACTGAGAAAAAATTAAAGATAAAAGTCAAAGGGTATTTGACAGAGACCACCAATTGATTCCCCAAATCCTCTTTCTCCTTCTTTAGTAGCAAGTTCCTGAACTTTAGCAGTGCACAGACCACTCAGAATAAAACGTCCTGTTGCAGGAGCTTGTGATGCCCCACGCCCCTCCTCTGTGGTCCATCTAATCTCACTGCAGCCCTGGAGATGGCTCCCTGCACTGGTCTCCTTAGTTGTTTTCTCCGCTATGCCATATTCATTTTTCTTCTCTTTTTTAATTGAAATAAAAATTCATATGACTTAAAACTCATCATTTTAACCATTTTAAAGTGTACAATCCAGAGGTTTTTAGTATATTCACAATGTTGTGCAATCATAATTACTAATTCCAGAGCATATCATCCAAAAAGAAGCCTTGTACCTGTTAAGCAGTAATCCCCCGTTCTGCCCTGCCCCCAGCCTTTGGCAAACAAACTATGTCTCTATGGATTTGCCTATTTTAGACGTTTTCTATAAGTGGAATTATACAATATGTGGCCTTATTTTGTCTGACTTTTTCACTTATGATGTTTTCAAGGTTTGTCCATGTTGTAGCGTATATTAGTACTTTACTTCTTTTTTTGGCTGTATAATATTCCATTATATGGATATACCACAATTGTTTCTCTATTGATTAGTTAATGGATATTTAAATTGTTTCCACTTTTGAGCTATTATGAATCATGCTTGTATGAACATTCATGTACATGTTTTTGTGTGGGCATATGTTTTTATTTCTCTTGGGTGTATGCATACGAATGGAATTGCTGGATCTTACTGTAATACTATGTTTAACTTTTTGAGGAACAGCCAAAATTTTTTTCATAGTGGCTGTACCATTTTACTTTCCCACCAGCAATGTATTAGGGTTTCAATTTCTCCACATCCTTGCCAATGTATTGTTACTATTATTATTGCATTGTAGCCATCCTACTGTATATGAAGTGGTATTTCATTATGGTTTTGATTTGCATTACCCTTTTAACTAACAATATTGAATATCTTTTCATTCAGTTGGCCATTTGTATATCTTTTTTGGAGAAATGACTATTCAAGTGCTATGCTCAGTTTTTAATTGAACTGTTTTTCTTTTTGTAGTGGTTCTTTCTATATTCTGGTTTCTGGACCCTTATCAGATATATAATTTGCAAATATTTTCTCCCATTATATGGATTGTCTTTAAAAATTTTTAGTAGTGTCCTTTGATGCACAAAAGTTTTAATTTTGATGAGTTAAAATTCTCTCTTTTCTTTGTTATTGCTTGTGCTTTGGTGCCATATTTAAGAAACTGTGGCCTAATCCAAGGACATGAAGATATATACCTATATTTCCTTCCGAGAGTTTTATCTCTTACATTTAGATCTTTGATCCATTTCAGTTAATTTTTGTATATGGTGTGAGGTAAGGGTCCAAATTTGTTCTTTTGAATGTGGATATTCAGTTATCCTGACCATTTGTTGAAAATAATATTCTTTCCCCATTGAATGATCTTGGTACCCTTATTGGAGATTAACTGACCATAGATATATGAGTTTATTTCTGGGCTCTTAATTTTATTCTGTTGATCTAAATGTCTACCTTTATGCTAGTAACACAGTTTTGATTACTGTATCTTTATAGTAAGTTTTGAAATCAGGAAGTCTGAGTCACCCAATTTTGTTCTTCTTTTTCAAGATCATTTTAGCTATCTGGGTTACCTTGCAATTTTATATAAAATTTAGGATCAGCTTGTCTATTTCCTCAAAAAAGACTCATGGAATTTTGACAGGAATTGAATAGAACCTGCAGATCAGTTTTGGGAGAATAGTCATCTTAAGGATATTGAATCTTCCAATTCATGACCAAGAGTTTTTTCTCATTTATGTAGGTCTTCTTTCATTTCTTTAAACAATATTTTGTATTTTCAATGTAAAGGTCTTGCACTTCCTTGGTTAAATTTATTCCTAGGGATTTTGTTCTTTTTGATGGTATTATAAATGGAATTATTTTCATAATTTTATTTTGGTCTCTTTGTTGCAAGTACATAGAAATACAATTGATTTTGTATATTAATCTTGTATCCTGCAACTTTCCCAAACTCATTTATCAGCTCAGATAGCTTTTTTGTGAATTTTAAAAAGTTTTTTCTTTATATAAGATAATGTCTTCTGTAAAAAGAGATAGTTTTGCTTTTCCTTTCTAATCTGTATATGCCTTTTATTTGTTTTACTTGCCTAATTGCCCTGGCTAGAACTTCCAGTACATGTTGAATAGAAGTGGTAAGAATAGACATTTTTGTCTTTTTTCCTGATCTTAAGGGGGAAAAAATGCAGGTTTTTTCACCATTAAGCATGATGTTAGCTGTGGGCTTTTCATTGATGCCCTTTATTGTGTTGAAGAAGTTCCCTTCTATTCCTAATTTGTTGAGTATTTTTATAATAAAAGAGTATGGCATTTTGTCAAAAGTTTTCTCTGCATCAGTTGAGATGATCATGTGATGTTCCTTTCATTCTATTAATATGGTATATTAAAATTATAGATTTTTGTTATGTTGAACCATTCCTGTAGTAAATTCCAATTGGTCATGGTGTATAATTATTTTAATATGCTGCTGAATTCAGTTTGCTAATATTTTGTTGAGGATTTTTACATCTATATTCATACTGCTCTACAGTTTTCTTGTGATGTCTTTGTCTTTCTTTGATATCAGAATAATATGATCTCATAGAATGAGTTAGGAAATATTTACTCCTCTTGTATTTTTAGAAGATTTTGAGAAGGATTGGTGTTCATTCTTCTTTAAAATGTTTGGTAGAATTCACCAGTGTAGCCATCTGGTTATGAGCTTTTCTTTGTTGGAAATTTTTTGTCGTTGTTGTTGTTTAATGATTCAATCTCTTTACCAGTTTAGGTCTATTTGGATTTTATATTTCCTCTTCAGTTAGTTTTGGTAGTGTGGGTTTTGAAGAATTTATCCATTTCATTTAGGTTATTTATTTGTTAGCACAGAATTGTTCATAGTATTCTTTTATAATCCTCTTTATTTCTGTAAGGCTGGTAATAATATCCCCACTTTCTTTTCTGATTTTAGTATTTTGAGTCTTCTCTCTTTTTTCAGTCAGTCTAGCTAAATGTTTGTCAATTCTACTGATCTTTTTATTGTGTGTGTGTGTGAGGAAGACCAGCCCTGAGCTAACATCTGTTGCCAATCCTCCTCATTTTTGCTGAGGAAGACCAGCCCTGGGCTAACATCCATGCCCATCTTCCTCTACTTTATATGTGGGACGCCTGCCACAGCATGGCTCGACAAGCTGTGCATCAGTCTGCACCTGGATCCAAACCTGTGAACCCCAAATCGCCAAAGCGAAGTGTGCGAACTTAGGTTGCTACGTCACCGGGCTGACCCCACTATTTATCTTTTTTAAAGAACCAATTTTTGGTTTCATTGATTCCTTCTATTGTTTTTCTATTCTCTATTTCATTTACCTTCACTCTAACCTTCATTATTTCCTTCCTTCTGCTTTCTTTGAGTTTAAATGCTCTTGTCTTTCTAGTTTTTAAGGTGGGATGTTAATTTGAGGTATTTCTTCTCTTTTAATGTAGGCTTTTACAGCGATAAATTGCCCTGTAAGCACCATTTAACTACATGTCGTATGCTGAGTTATGTCTCCATTTTCATTAATCTGAAAGTATTTTTTATTTATTTATTTATTTTATTTTATTTTTTGTGAGGAAGATCAGCCCTGAGCTAACATCTGCCAATCCTCCTCTTTTTGCTGAGGAAGATTGGCCCTGGGCTAACATCCATGCCCATCTTCCTCCATTTTATATGGGATGCTGCCACAGCTTGGCTTGACAGGCGGTGCATCAGTGCACGCCCAGGATCCGAACTCGGGGCCGCTGCAGTGGAGTGTGCGCACTTTACCACTACACCACTGGGCTGGCCCCTGAAAGTACTTTTTAATTCCCCTTGTGATTTCATCTTGGACCCGCTGTATGTAGGAGTGTACTGTTTAATTTCTACATATTTGTCAATTTCTGAAGTTTCTGTTATTAATTTCCAATTTCACTCCATTGTGACCAAAGAACATAATTCGTATAATTTCAAATCTTTTAAATTTATTGAGGCTTTTTTTATGACCTACCTTATGCTGAAGAATGTCGCATTGCTTGAGATTCTTTTTCTTATGTATTCTTATGTTGTTGGGTAGAGGGTTCTATGGATGTCAGCTAGGTCTAGGTTGTCGACAGTGTTGATCAAGTCTTCTATGTCTTTGTTTATCTTCTGTCTAGTTCTATCAGTTATTGAAAATAGGGCATGAAGTATTAAACTATTATTGTTTTTTATTTAAATTTATTTTATTGAGGTCACATTGGTTTACAACATTATATAAGTTCCAGGTGTACATCATTATATTTTGACTTCTGTACAGACTACATCCTGTTCACCACCAAAAATCTGGTTGCCATCTGTCACTGTGCAAATGTGCCCTCTTACCCCTTTCACCATCCCACTTACCTCTTTCCCCTCTGGTAACCACCAATCTATTCTCTGCATTTATGTGTTTGTTGTTGTTGCTGTTGTTGTTTGTCTTCCACATATGAGTGAAATCATGTGGTATTTGGCTTTCCCTGTCTGGTTTATTTCGCTTAGCATAATATCCTCAAGGTCCATCCATGTCGTAAATGGCAAGATTTCATCTTTTTTTTTATGGCTGAGTAGTATTCTGTTGTATATATATACATCTTCTTTATCCACTCATCCACTGATGGGCACTTAGGTTGTTTCTAAGTCTTGGCTATTGTGACTAATGCTGCAATAAATATAGGGGTGCAAATATTTTTTCAACTGGTGTTTTTGTGTTCTTTGAATAAATACCCAGAAGTCGAATAGCTGGATCATGTAATAGTTCTATTTTTAATATTTTGAGGACTCTCCATACTGTTTTCCAGGGTGGCTGCACCAGTTTACATTCCTACCAGCAGTGGGAAGTCTACACATTCTCTCCCACACTTGTTATTTCTTGTCTTCTAAATAATAGCCCTTCTGATGGATGTGAGGTGATATCTCATTGTGCTTTTGATTTGCAGTTCCCTAATAACTAGTGATGTTGAACATCTTTTCATGTGTCTGTTGGCCATCTGTATATCTGTCTGTTTGGATCCTCTTCCCACTTTTTGATCAGGTTGTTTGTTTTTCTGTTGTTGAGTTGTATGAGTGCTTTATGTATTTTGCATATTAACCCCTTATCATATATATGATTTGCAAATATCTTCTTCCATTTGTTAGGTTGTCTTTTCGTTTTTTTGATGGTCTCCTTTGCCGTGCAGAAGTTTCTAAGCTTGTTGTAGTCCCATTTGTTTATTTTTTCTTTTGTTTGCCTTGCCTGAGGAGACCTGATATTCAAAAAGAGACTGCTAAGACTGATGTCAAAGAGCATACTGCCTATGTTTTCTTCTAAGAGTTTTACGGTTTCAGCTCTTACATTCAAGTCTTTAATCCATTTCAAGTTAAATTTTTGTGTATGGTGTAAGATAATGGTCTACTTTCATTCTTTTCCATGGGGCTGTCCAGTTTTCCCAACACCATTTATTGAAGAGACTTTCCTTTCCCCATTGTATGTTCCTTCTCCGTTGTATGTTCTTGGCTCCTTTGTTGAAAATTAGCTGTCCATAGATGTTTATTTCTGTCCATAGGTTTGTTTCTGGGCTCCCGATTCTGTTCCATTGATCTGTGTGTCTGTTTTTCTGCCAGTACCATGCAGTTTTGGTTACTATAGCTGTGTAGTGTTTTGAAATCAGGGAGACTGATACCTCCAACTTTGTTCTTTTTTCTCAGGATTACTTTGGCTATTAGGGATCTTTTGTTGTTCCATATAAATTTTAGGGTTCTTTGTTCTATTTCTGTGAAAAATGTCATTGGGACTTTCGTAGGGATTGCATTGAATCTGTAGATTGCTTTAGGTAATAGGGACATTTTAACTATGTTAACTCTTCCAATCCATGAGCATGAAATATCTTTCCATTTCTTTGTGTCTTCTTTGATTTCTTTCAACATGTTTTATAGTTTTAAGTGTATGGGTCTTTCAAGTCTTTATTTAAATGTATTTCTAGGTATTTTATCCTTTTGCTGTGATTGTAAATGGGATTGTATTTTTGATTTCTCTTTCTGCTGGTTCATTGTTAGTAGATAGAACTGCAACTGGTTTTTGTCTGTTGATTTTGTACCCTACAACTTTACTGTATTCATTTATTATTATAATTGTTTTTTGGTGGATTCTTTAGGGTTTTCTATATGTAGAAGCATGTCATCTGCAAATAGTGACAGTTTTACTTCTTCATTTCCAATTTGGATCCCTTTTTATTTCTTTTTCTTGCCTGATTGCTCTGGCTAGGATGTTCAATACTATGCTGAATAATAAGAGTGGCGAAAGTGGGCGTCCTTGTCTTGTTCCTGGTCTTAGAGGGATAGCTTTCAGTTTTTCACTGTTGAGTGTGGTGTTGGCTGTGGGTTTGTCATATATGGCCTTTATTATGTTGAGGTACTTTCCTTCTATCCTCATTTTATTCAGAGTTTTTATCACAAATGGATGCTGTATCTTGTTGAATGCTTTCTCTACATCTATTGAGATGATCAGGTGATTTTTATTCTTCACTTTGTTAATGTAGTGTATCATGTTGATTAATTTGCAGATGTTGAACCATCCTTGCATCCATGAGTAAATCCCACTTGATCATGGTGTATGATCCTTTTAATGTATTGTTGTATTCAATTTGCGAACATTTTGTTGAGGATTTTTGCATCTCTGTTCATTAGCAATATTGGCCTGTAATTTTCTTCTTTTGTGTTGTCCTTGTCTGGTTTTGGCATCAGGGTAATGTTGGACCCATAAAATGAGTTAGAAAGCATCCTCTCCTCTTCAATTTTTTGGAAGAGTTTGAGAAATATAGGTATTAAGTTTTCTTTTATTGTTTTGTAGAGTTCACTGGGGAAGCCATCTGGTCTTGGACTGTTGTTTTAGGGGAGGTTTTTTTGTTTGTTTTAGGTGAGGAAGATCAGCCCTGAGCTAACATCCATTGCCAATCTTCCTCTTTTTGCTGAGGAAAATTAGCCCTGAGCTAACATCTGTGCCCATCTTCCTCTATGTTGTATATGGGATGCCGCCACAGCATGGCTTGTTGAGTGGTACATAGGTCCATGCCCAGGATCCCCACCTGTGAACTCTGGGCCACAGAAATAGAGAGTGTGAACTTAACCACTATGCTACTGGGCCAGCCCCCTTGGCGAGATTTTTGATTACTGTTTCCATCTCCTTACTAGTGATCACTCTATTCAGATTCTCTGTTTATTCTTGATTCAGTTTTGGAAGGTTGTATAATTCTAAGAGTTTATCCATTTCTTCTAGATTATCCAGTTTGATAGTGTATAGCTTTTCATAGTATTCTCTTATAATCCTTTGTGTTTTTGTGGTATCTGTTGTAATTTCTCCTCGTTTTTTTTCTGATTTTATTTATTTGAGCCTTCTCTCTTTTTTTCTTGCTGAGTCTAGCTAAAGGTTTTTCAATTTTGTTTATCTTTTCAATGGATCAGCTCTTAGTTTCATTGATTTTTTTCTACTGTTTTATAAGTCTCTATTTCATTTATTTCTGCTCTGATTTTTATTATTTCTTTCCTTCTACTGATTTTTGGCTTTGTTCTTCTTTTTCTAGTTCCTTTAGGTATATTGTTAGATTGTTTGAGATTTTTCTTGTTTGTTGAGGTAGGCCTGTATTTCTATAAACTTTCCTCTTAGTACTGCTTTTGCTGTGTCCTATAAATTATGGCATGTCATATTTTCATTTTCATTTGTGTCCAGATATTTTTTGATTTCTCCTTTGATTTCTTCTTTGACCTAATAGTTGTTCAGTAGCATGTTGTTTAATCTCCACAAATTTGTAGTTGTGGAGTTGATTTATGTGGTCAGAAAAGATGCTTGATATTATTTCAATCTTTTTAAATTTATTGAAACTTGTTTGTGGCCTAATATATGTGATCTATCCTGGAGAATGTTTCATGTGCATTTGAGAAGAATGTGTATTTTGCAGTTTTTGGGTGGATTGTTCTGTATATATCTATTTAGTCCATCTGGTCTAATGTGACAGTTAAGGCCAATGTTTCCTCATTGATCTTCTGTTTGGATGATCTATCCACTGATGTAAGTAGAGTGTTAAAGTCCCCTACTATTATTGTGTTATTGTCAATTTCTCCTTTTATGTCTGTTAATAATTGCTTTATTTATTTAGGTGCTCCTATGTTGGGTGCATAGATATTTATAAGCGTTATATCCTCTTGTTGGATTGTTCCCTTTATCATTATGTAATGCCCTTCCTTGTCTGTTGCTACTGTTTTTTTGTAAAGTCTATTTGTCTGATATAAGTATTGCTACCCCAGCTTTCTTTTTGTTTCCATTTGCATGAAATATATTTTCCATTCCTTTACTTTCAGATTGTGAGTATCTTTAGGTCTGAAGTGTGTCTCTTGTATGCTGCATATATATGGGTATTGTTTTGTTTATCCATTCAGCCACCCTATGTCTTTTGATTGGAGCATTTAGTCCATTGATATTTAAAGTAACTATTGTTAAGTATGTACTTGTTGCCATTTTGTTACTTTTTTTCTGGATATTTTTGTAGCTCTTCCCTGTTCCTTTCTTCTCTTGCTCGCTTCCCTTGTGATTTCATAGCTTCCTTTAGTGTTATGTTTGGATTCTTTTCTCTTTATTTTTTGTGTATTTATTATAGGTTTTTGTTTGTGGTTACCATGAGGTTCATATATAATAACCTATGTAAATAACAATTTATTTTAAGTTGATGATCTCTTAAGTTTGACCTCTTACTAAAAGCCCTACACTTTTACTCTCTCCTCCCATGTTTTATGTTTTTGACGTCGTGTTTCACCCTTTTTAATTTTGTCTATCCCTTAACCTCTTATCATAGCTATAGATGATTTTGGTACTTTTGTCTTTTGGCCTTCATACTAGCTTTGTTTTGTTGTTTTGTGATGAAGATTAGCCCTGAGCTAACATCCATTGCCAATCTTCCTCTTTTTGCTGAGGAAGATTGGCCCTGGGCTAACATCTGTGCCCATCTTCCTCTACTTTATATGTGGGACACCTGCCACAGCATGGCTTGATAAGTGGTGCCTAGGTCTGTGCAAGGGATCCGAAACCTGTGAACCCCAGGCTACCAGAGTGGAGCGCATGAACCCAACCACTACACCACCGGGCTGGCCCCCATACTAGCTTTATAGGTGGTTGATCCACTACCTTTACTGTATATTTGCCTTTAAGTGCCATGGCTAGGGTACAGTTTTTTCCTCAGCAGGGCTGTATCTCTGCCTCTTCCACCTCTCTCTGTCACATATACCTGTCACATCTCCCTTATTGGTAATGTTGTTTAAAACTTCTAGATCCATCCTAAATTTTGTTGGTTCCCTTGCTTAGTCTTCATTTGAGAGAAATGTTTTAAAGATTCCTATTATCCTAGGCTTCTGTGTATTTCTACTTGTATCTCTAGTAGTTTCCACTTTATGACACTTGTTGGGGTGTTATTGGGTGCATACATATCAATAATTGTTATGTATTCTCTCATGATTTATAGCATCTAGTATAATGAAAAGTCTTTCATAGAAGTTTTTGGATCTTAATTCTACTTTATCAGATGTAAATATTATATCCCCTTCTTTCTTTTTATTTCTCTTTGCCTAGTATATCTGCCTATCATTTTATTTTGAACCTTTTGGAATCTTTGCATTTTAAGTGTGTCTCTTAAGTGTATCTCTTCTCGGGCTGAAATCTATACAGCTTAGTGGTAGTAAGGCAGCTACCTTTGTTGGTGGTAGGAGGAAGGAAAGTGGTGTTCTATGGACTCACTTCCTTGAACCATGCTGTAGGCAATGTCATGACTGGTGGAGAGGCAGTCTTAGTAGTGGTAGCAGAGTGTGTAGGATGGAAGAATGAGTGTGGCCAATATATGTTCACCTTTATTACATAGTAATAGGATTTTTAGTTGGACCAATTAGATACATGATGACCCCATGAATGATACTTCCCAGCCTCCTTTACAGTTTGGTGTGGCCACGTGATTGAGTCCTAGGCAATAGGATGTGAGTAAATTTGATGTGTGCAACTTATTAGTGTTGCTCTTAATAGGCAGGAACCATGACCCCCCCCATCCTCCATCCCACTCCCTCTTCTTCCTTTCCTTTTGGCTAGAATATGGATGAGATATCATAGCCTAGAGCATGTGTCTTGAACCAAAATCTAAAAACTGCAACTTGAGAATAGCCAGGGTTTCTGACACTGTTGAGGTGTCATAACAGCTCAGGATCACTTATCTGGATGTTCGTGTGAAAAATAAAACACCTATGTTGTGAGGCTACCATATTTTGTGGACTCTTGGTTACAGCAGCCTAACACAGATGCTCTAACTAGGGGTGCACAGACCCTGTCCAGGGCTGTGGAGGGCAGTGTGGAGGTTGGAGGAGGAGCAGCTTACTGGGATCAGGATCCCTTCAATTCTTGCACAAGTGTTTTCAGTTGTTCATGGAAGACTGAGTTCTCTCATTTGTCTCTCTTCATCCTGAGATATCCATTGCAGTGATAGGAAAAGAATATAAAAGAGACTAAGAGTGGGACCAGCAGTAGATGAGTAATTTAAATTTCTATATGTTGGATAGAAGATGGAGGAGAAAACTGAGTGGACAAAGTCACAGCCAGGATATGTGGAAAGAGGCTGCCCAGAACGACCCTAGAGAGGCTTTATATTCAGAGATAGTAGATACCAGAGAATATGAGAGTGAGAAGTGGGGCTGAAAACAAGAAGATTAATTAAAGATTATATAAGAAATAGTCCCCCTTCACTCCCCTCTCTGTTCCACCTATTTAGAGTTCAGACATCCCAATGTTTACCCTCCCCTACCCCAGGCATATAATCAGAAGATTTCTCTCTAAAAGAATTGAACAATCAGTCTAAAAACAACTAGGACAGCTGGGGCGGGTGTTGATATCCCAGTATAAATATATTCCTATTATGGCATTTGGGGAGCCCTATGCATGCTTACATATTATTCTCATTCCGGAGTTTGGTGGATGATATGTCTTATACATATTCACTGAGTTACCAGCTATCTTTCATTCATTTTAAAATATTCGTAAAATCCAAACATAAATAGACGTTGGAAAAAAACCTGTGGCATGAAGGGGAAAGATCAAGATTATTAGAGGAGCTATTAACAGGGGAAAAGAGGTAGTTGTAAAAACTGAAGAGATGGTAAAACAAACTCTATTATTGTCAGAGAAATTAGACTTGGTAGTTCACTCATAGAACAGGAACAGGATGCTATGAAATAAGGAACAGAAAACAGGAACAGAAATAAGCAATATAAGTTGCTGTTGGAAATTAAACATACGGTTGTTGATATTAAAAAACATATTTAGAAGTTTGG